CGTTCCATGATGTTGTATTGCACTCATTGATCTACCAGTTATGTTGAATGATTTCTCTTTTAATATCAATTACTCACAAATACTTCATATATTTCAATCATACAAACAACTGCTCATTCAATGTGTGACGGGCGTATTATATACCGCTCGAGGTAACCTTGTTCTCAGGTAGTACAAGACAGATCTTTCCTTAATTTCATAGAAAGAATCCTCTTGGTCTTAAGTTGTGCATGTTCCATTTTTAGACCAATAAACAAAATGGCGCCAGAAGCACTTGACAGTTCTTCCTCAAATTTCACATATAGGTTTTCTCTGGTGTGCATTTGTGCATGTTTTAGCTTTTTTGAGACTGATCAGAGAGAGGCTATCAGGCAGCTATATCAAATTATGACAGTTCAAGTTGGAAAAAAACTGCATCTTCTGTTGACAGACTATCAATCTATTAAATAATAGGATGGTGGGCACCACACTTTCTCTAGGATATCTTGTTTGATAATAATATCAAGTTCCCAGCATGCGACGATCACACACAGCCTTGTATTCACAGTCATATAACAGTCATATTTCAGTCAAAGTTTGGTCAATTCATAGCTTCTCATACATTCAGTTTCATTGAAAAATGTTACTTATACAGCAGATAAATTTTGCTTTGTTTGTTTGTTGTTATCTTGATACATGTAACAAGTTTTCATATTGAATGAGCGACAACAGTCACTAAGGTGAGACAAGTTCTGCTTATCCATTAACAACATCGTGGTTAAGGTTTCACATCAAACTAATTGTTTAGTATATCCTAAATTGGGAAAGTAAGATATTAGACAATCTCAAAATGCAAGGGTTCTGCTCCCGATTCACACATCTTCTTTGCACCCCTGGAATATGTTATACAACAGAATGGACCTGTGTATCGTGACATACTGTCTTATCTGACCAATGTTTTGTGTCCCAGTGTCAGATTAGACAGGTTTCTCTGTATTGATACTGTTCTATGGAATGTGTACCAGGAGAACAACTAGAACAGTGTTTGCTTATTGATGATTATGTCTTTGGTTCATGAGCACAGAGGCTACAATGATTTATTAGCTCACCTGGCCCGAAGGGCCAAGTGAGCTTATGGCATGGTGCGGCGTCCGTCGGCCGTCGTATGTCCGGCTCCAACTTTTTACTTTAAACAACTTCTTCTCAATAACCAAGAGGCCCAGGCTGATGATAGTTGGCCAGTAGCATGCTGGGATGAAGGGCTACCAAGTTTGTTCGAATGAATGACCTTAACCCACTTTCAAGGTCCAAGGGGTAAAATGTCTTAAAATCTTCAAACGACTTCTCCTCAATAACCAAAAGGCCCAAAGTACTGATATTGGGCCTATAGCATGCTGGGATGAAGGGCTACCAAGTTTGTTCAAATTCATGACCTTGACCCACTTCCAAGGTCACAGGGGTAAAATGTCTTAAAATCTTCAAACAACTTCTTCTCAATAACCAAAAGGCCAAGGGTACTGAAATTGGGCCTTTAGCATGCTGGGATGAAGGGCTACCAAGTTTGTTCAAATGAAGGACTTTGACCAACTTTCAACCTAATGTCCTTGTTCGACATTCGAGGTCAAAGGCGTCGTATGTTTAAATCTTTTAATAGGTTCTTATGAATCAAACACTGATATTCTGCCTGTAGCTATTATTTAGTCCACTATTAAGATTACAAGTGTGAGATTAATACCAGGTGAGCGATGCAGGTCCATTGGGCCTCTTGTTGTTTTGTATCGTGATACTTTCTGGTGTAGCGTATCAAATTGTTTTCTTTGCCCGTATTGCGATACACTAACAGTACTGAAATTATGAACGCATTATTTATCGAACTCTAAAAATGTGTACTTATATTGTTTAATCTTTCAGTAAAGATATGGCCAACTGTCATACCCAAAAGTACTGGAAATTATACCAAAATATATTTCAGTAGCTTTTATTCTTAAAGTCTACGATAAAACTTGGTAAAATCCTGCACTGATTCATTATGAGGTCAACCTTTTCAGCAGATATTTTTATCATAGAACGTAGAGTATCTCAAACATGGTACCGCTATATGTATCGTACTGTGAGGTATGCTGATCATTGCAGCCCTAGAATGATGCAAAATGTATTTGTTATGAACCTCAGGAAAATCTTTTGAAAACATTATCACCTGTAAAATCTTGTCTGCTGTATCATTTAGGAGCACTTACAGGGAGCACTAACAGGAGCACTTACAGGGAGCACTTACAGAGAGCACTTACAGGGGACTTGTATTGAATTATCTGTATCCTGTAGATGTTTGTGTCTGACTTTTCTGCTTTCTGATGCAGGTTGGACGCCCCACTGGAAACAAAACTCCAACACCAGCGGCGACCGGGTGTGGAAACATGACCTTTACGATGACAAGGAAAAGAGTGAAGGAGACACAGGAGGCCGAAACAATGACGAAAAAAAGACGAATAAGGAAGAAAGTCGCGAGGACAACAAACCAACAAGTACCACATGAGAAGAGGAGGATAACCCTTGTAACGCCATAACTCAACAAGGGAGCTCAATGTTTTACCCGTGTCGACTCATTCACCCCTGAAATTTTAAAATGGACTATTCCAACCTTTGAATTGGAAGGGTTCAAATGTGTCTTCAGGGGTGAATGAGTGAAAATAAATAACTGTATAACCCAGGGTCAGTATGGAATACAGTATTTTGCTAAATGAGACTGAAGAGATAGAGAGGCTAGTTTTGTGATCATCCTGAGAAAATACAAATGCAGAGAGAACTGTTCTGTGTGATGGATCTGCCCATATCTTCCTTTGTTCAACATAAATTGAAATAAGTTTTAGGTTGAAAATGTCTTGCCTACAAAGGGACTGCTGTCATATGTATTCGTGATTGAAGAAAAAAAAAATTCTTACAAAGAAAACTTGAAGGAAGAATATAACACAAATGTAGTCTCAACATAATACAAAGCGAAGAAAAAATATTCATCTGTTTTCTAACTGATTTTAAACAGGAAATATTTAATTGATTCATAATGAATGAGTCGTTAAAACTGTAACAACCCAGTGTGAGGCCATCTTGCGAAACTGTTACAAACTAAGTAAAGACAAGGGAGGTAACTACTACACCAGAAGTGTTAGAACAGAATGGAAACTGCACACAGTCAATCACTTTAGTTTGGTGAGATAAACCAAATGTTTGTTTGGATAAGCAATTGCAAATTGGCATATTTTGAATATTAATTGAGACACAAAAAGACAAAAAGCATACAGTGGTCATTATTTATTTTGCAAAATTCAAAAATCCATTGTTTAAAGAACAGTTATGTTCTATGAAATGTGTACCAGGAGAACAACTATAACAGGGTTTGGTTTTGTTAGCCGTTCACAGACAATTTGACCTGAACAAATCTTAACCTGAAATTGACCCGAATTTCAGGTCTAATTCAGGTTAATTTCACATTTAAAACAAGTTCAAATCAGTTTCATATCAATGTTGTTGTCACCTGAACACAGCCAAAAAGTCAATTTCAGGTGAAAAATTAACCTGAATAATCACCTTGATAGAAAAATTTACCTCACCACATTCACTCCAGAAGACACATTTGAACCTCTCCAATGCAAAGGTTGGAAAAGTTCAAGGTAAAATTCCAGGTGTAAATGAGTAAATTTGACCAGAAATTGACATCAAGAATTTTTCATATCAATTTGAGGTCAAATTAGGCTGAAAACTTGACGTGAAATTGACATCAAGAATTTTTGCCTGTGTTGACATAAAATGCAACATTAGTATTCATGTGTCAAGAAAGCAAACTTAGACAATTTTCTTCACTTCAAACAAATCTGTACAAATATTTTGATCTCAATTCTGTATTTTTCAGTATACTGTTTACCTATATCTGTTCACATACCAAGGTAAATGTGCAGAGATGTTATTTTTGACCCGTGAAAAATACAGTTTTGATATCTTGTGCTGCAGTACTAGTGAAAATAACACTTTCATTACAAATATGAAATATATTTATTTTTTCAATGATATGACTATCAAATTTTCCTGTATCTCTTTGGCACATTACTCATTTATTTGGTTAAATATTTCATTATATTGGCTCATCTGGCACGAAGTGCAGTTTTTACTCATTTACCCCTGAAATTTCATAATAAACTATTCCAATCTTTGAATTGGAAGAGTTCAAATGTGTCTTTAAGGGTGAATGAGTTAATGTGCGATGGTTTGCATCTGCAGGTAGTAAGTATCAACTATTTCAACAATTTCAAAAAAACTTTTTAGGCCCAGATATGAGGTTTTAAGGAATCTTGCCATGTAGCTTGCTAGGGTGGAAGGCTATCAAGTGTTCTCAAATAAATGACCTTGACCCAGTTTTAAGGTCGCAGGTCATATGTATTTACATCAGCCAATGACTTCTGAGGATACTTGAGGCCTAGAATATATTTGTCCTATAACTCGGTGGAATGAGGGGCTTGTTTTGATGGAAAATGTAGATTAGCAGGTTAAGGGTTTTGTGTTTTGTCATTGCTTATGATAAACCTGCTGTTATTACCACAAAGTCGGAGGATGTACATAAAACACTACCTGGTATTTATTTCCCTTATTTCTATGGTACATGTAGAATTGATTTTACCCCAAAAATATTGCCATATGTGTATGTCCTGTATACCTGACCTTACCTTAATATAAGGCCCCAATCCTTTCTGATCTGTCCTCATAACCTATACAACTTAAATGCCCTCGTCCCTCCTAATACGCCGTCAGACCCCTTACTTACCATCCACCCTCCCTTCCCTAATATTGCCCTTGTCCCTCCTGATACGCCCTCAGACCCCTTACTTACCATCCACCCTCCCTTCCCTAATAATGCCCTCACACAAGGGATGCTATGGATATTTTAATAGTTCTATAGCAGTTTAGTGTTGGTGAGAAGTTTCTAGGTTATGGAGAGTTTTTTTTAAAGTTAGGTATTTTAATGTCTTTTTATCATAAACCAATGCTATTTTTTGTCTAGAAGCTGAGAAAACTCAACTGTTGTGATTTGTCTCAAGGCAGATGTTTCCACTTGTTATCCAAGCAATTCATCATTTGTGCAATTTTAACTAGTTTTTATGCACCATTTCACTAAATGTAATGGTTGATTTCCTTAAAAAAATCCAGTTGTTGCCAGCCATGAACTGGACTAATTCAAGAAATTTACTTCCATGGATTGTGTTATTTCTTTGAATATTGTGATTTCTTAACTCATTCACCCCTGAAATTTTGTAATGTACTATTCCAATCTTTGAATTGGAAGAGTCCAAATGTGTCTTTAGGGGTGAATGAGTTTTAAACATCGCATAGGCATAATGTATCTAATATAACATTGTTTGTAGATTGTAGTGCTTGGATGGCCTCCTTCAAAAGGAAAATTTAAAGATATGTCATTGTTTAAATCATTTTACTGTGAAACATTGTACATGAGATATTTGTTTTCTTCACTTCCATTGAATTGTTAATACAATTTCAAATATGACAAAAGTTGTTTTTGTTATTTGAAAGACATTATAGACACATTAACTGATTTGTCATTTCACACAAAGGAACAAACTGTATAGCCAGTTATTTTTATGACATTAAATTTATCAGATTATACTTCAAATGACAGAATTGAATTTACAACAGCTAAAATTTCCAAATCTGGAAAAAAAAGGTTATGTTATTTCAGTGTATATTGTCTATAATTCAATATAAAATAAAGAATAGCAAACCATACAAAGTCATTTGATTCAACGCAATCCAATACTATTTTATGCAAATTCAAGTGTTTTGTGTTATAAAATAAACAAGTCCTAAAACATACATGTCATATATTTCATTTCATACTGTCAGACTTGCCATATTTCTAGATTGTTTGAGATAATAATAATAACACTACCTTGAGGTTCTAATATACCGCTTTATCACAACCGATTTTGTAGGTCTCCAAGCTGTTCACAAATTATAATCTGTGGTTATAGGGCCTTTGCAACCAGCCAATATCTTTCTCAACTCCTTGGGGAGCATACAGCTAGCATTCAACAATTCTAGAGTTGCCCAACCACATACTCATTTACAGCCGAGTTGACTGGAACAAGCGAAGTAAAGTGTCTTGCTCAAAGATACAACACAGTGCTGTGCCTCGGCTCACTGCACCCTTGGAATATGTCATAGCGAAATCGAAGGCGCAGTGTGCAGCACCTTGAAGATGAGACAAGAAGACTTATTTGATCCTTTGATGTACATCAAAAGAATCACGTGGTCAGGTAATGGTAAAAATTGACAGGCTTTGAAGTCTGGCATCTCTCCTTTGTAATCTTCAAAGGACAGGTATTAGCCTAGTGTTTGGTCAGTTTTTTTTACCGAAGACTAATCAAACATCCATCTTCGTGCCTTCAATTTTGCTATGACATATTCCAGGGGTGCAGAGAGCGAAAGTGAGCGTAACCCCTGGATATGGAGGATGCTCGAACCCGCAACCCTTGTGTCACAAGCCCGGCGTCCTACCACTAGACTATCGGGCCGAGATAGCCTACATAACAACTATACAGATTTATTTGGCTGCATTGCTGTTTATAGCACAGGTAATATTTACCTGTATCATCTTAATAAGCAAAAAAATATTTCACTGGTATACATGTTATATATAATGCTCCACTTATAAGCAAAAAATATACAAATGCAGGGAAAATCCTGGTGGGCGATTTCATTAAGAGTGGCTATTCCATGTAAAATTAGAAGAAAATTGAAACATGAAGGGGTCAATGGCCCCATGGCCCTCTCCAGTGCCAATGAAAATAAAAAGCTGTACATAATGTAGTCGATTCCTGTCTTGCCTGAAGGATATGTGCAGTAAACAAAAAATAAAGCTCAACTCGGCTAAAGGGATTCCTGCTGTTGCAGTATGTTGATATATCTCGTCTAAATAGACCTGTTTGTGACAAAATGTTACATTATCTTACCATACTGTGAAATGTTAGTTCATCTCGAGTAAAAGGATATCCATGTTGTGACAAGGTTAATTTTCAACTTGCCTAAAAGGATCTTTGCTGTGTGGGGAGAGGTTTGTTCCTCTCATCTGAAAGGTCCCATGCTGTGACATCTTAGCTGATATAGGTTAAGAGATCCATGCTGTTATGAAATATTAGCTCATCTTGCTTTCAACATCTTCTAAACCACCAGGAAGCCTAGAGTCATAATACAAGTATATTGCCTGTAGCATGCTGGTGTCCAGGGCTATCGAGTTGGTTAAAATAGATTTCAATGATCTGCTTTCAAGGTCACAGAAGTATAAACTTAATATGGCATCTAAATATTCATAAAATCTTGAGAAACATATTTGGTCTGCGTGATGCTGGAGTGAGGGGATATAAAACTAAATTTGTTCAAGGAAATGGTTGTGACCCACGTTCGTGGTTACAGGGATCAGCTGTATGAAAACTTTAAACAACTTCTTCAAAAAGCCCATAAGACTTAGAGTAGTAAAATTTGGCCTGTGGCTTGCTGGGATAAAACTCTCAAGTTTGTGTGAGTTAGGGATATCTGTTAATGACATGTGACAGTAAGTCAAGTATCAAACTTCCAGCAAAGTTCTGCATAATATGCATTTTTATGTAGATTGTAGTGCTGCTTGCTATCAAGTCTTCTTTGAATAAATTTTGACCTTGACCTATTTTGAAGGTCAAATGTTTAAGATGTGTTTGACAATAGCATTGAACAAGGGGTGATACATGCCAATAGAGCCTCTTGTTTTTGAGGTATAGACTCCTGAGAAGATCCTTGTTGCATAATGAAAAAGGTTATAAAAAAGAAAATGATTTAAAAAAAATATCAATTCATCACCATTTCACACTAGTTATCACAGGGACCTGAGAATTTGTTAGTTATATATTTGGACCTAAACGAAGGTGTTAGGAGTAATTTTACACTAATATTATCATAATTATGGGTGGCATTTTTACCAAAAGTTTATCTAAACCCCCCAAACGTGTGAAATTACTTTTTAACACCTTAGGCTAGGTCCAAATATAGATGTCTATGGACCAGGGATGTGCCAAGTCAAACTACCACGAAATCCTTCATTCATGAATAAGTAATAGCGTATATATACTGATTTGAATATTCTTTGAGTGGACGAACTATCCAAGTATGTTGTTCTCCGTCAACACTTGTAGGTGTGGTATTAGAACACTGGTGGTATACATGCTTTTAGTTTCCGACACTGACTGCCAGACGATTCCAACCAAATGTTACATGTCATCCGGGTCAGATACTAGCTGCTTCCTATACCGACTCGGCAGTATTTCATTTTTTTTCACATTCGGAAGCGCGTAAGACTAGATATTCTTATGTGGGCGTCAATTTAATACTAATGCAATGCCTCCGCCAGGGATCCGATCTTGGACCTCTGGTTTACTCACCTGGCGCCTAATCGATATTTATTTTACAGCATTAACAATACAGGTAACAAGGTACATATTCCCGCGAGACGTCGTCCGTACAATTAGTATCATTCCAACAGGGCCCGTATTCATGAAACAGTTCTCATGCTCAATCATGTTTTATCATGTTTTTGGGCTCAAGCCTAATTTCTTGTTTCATTTTATAATAATATATATTTTTTTCAATGATTTGGACAAAAAAAGAAGAGACTTAAAGTCAAATACTGTTTTTAATGTTCATAATTCACTTTTGATCGTTTGACATGCTTTAAATGAGTTACAAGAAAGCTGGTTTGAGCACAGAACCCATGCTTGAGCATGAGAACGGTTTCATGAATATGGGCCCAGGTCTTAAAAAGGCAGTCCCGATAGCGTGACGTCGTTACTCTCAACGACTATTGTGACAAACACTCTCTAGTCCTCCATTTGAATCTATCCATAGATTCGACAATCCCATTAAAAATCCATCTGTTTTGGGCCATGGACTTACTATACCTTATGAATATTTTACCGTTTCTATATTTCCAGATATTTTCTTTTTGTTTATTAAGCAGCGGTCTGAACAAGACCCTGAAAAACTGTCTCCTGTCTTAAATTGTACGTTTTCTGTTTCTGTCTATCTGTTGGAACATATTCCCTGATCTTTTACCAATTGTCAGTATAATGGGACTTGGTGGAACGCCGTTCTGGGTTCCTTCGGCTTGATATTTCAGTGATGTAGCACTCAATAGCCGCGGTGGCCAAGTGGTTTTAAAAGGCGTCTGGCAGTAGCCCTCCACCGCTGGGTCGCGGGTTCGAGACCTGCGTGGGGCAGACGCCATGTACTGGCCGTAGGTCGGTAGTTTTTCTCTGGGAACTTCCGGCTTTCCTCCACCACCAAAAGCTGGCTTGTCCTTAAATGACCATAGCTATTAATGGGACGTAATACACAAACAAACCAAAAGTCGACATCTGATCCTCGCTATCGCAAGGAGGCAACAACACACCGCCTCTAGCACGCACGCCTACATTATTAACAGGGAGACACGTCCTTCAAGGACCTTTGCTGTTAGAAGATGTTAAACCCAATAAAGCTGCTAATCCTTCAGATTTAGTTTATCAGATAAATTAACGTTCATTCACATCGAATCCCACTAAAAGCGTTTACTAGGGTGGCCGGTGGAGCAGTGGATAGCGCACTAGCCTTTCACTCAGGCGTCCGGGTTCGATTCCCCGATCGGACGTGAAAATGTATGGGGTCACCTGTCCGACCACGTGGGTTTTCTCCGTGTACTCCGGTTTCCTCCTACAATAAGACCCCCGCGCTCTGACATCCGGTCCAACAATGATTAATAAAATAAATAAAGTTTTATTCTAAAAGCGTTCCTGTATTGTTTATTTAAAGTTTGAACCTTAGCTTCCCTTTCATTTTTCAAAAGCTTTAAATACCTTCTAGTTGGCACATGCCTTCGTGGGTTTGATGTCTAAGCCAAATCTTCCTTAAAAAACTGGACAATGGTAATGATGTCCTTTGTACTTTGTTTTGCGGCTCAGTTATTAAACAAACTTTCTTTTTGCTAGCTTAAATCAGAGCCAACCATGGCAGATTTGTTAGATGAATTAAACCTTCGCCCTTTTTAAATACCGTAATGATCGGAGTTATGAAAATAAAATTACTAGATTTACAGAAACGGGTGTGTTAATTAAAATTATGTATTTATCACGTTACGGTACCCCCGAACCACTGCCGAAAACTGTATAAACTGGAAACTGATATTTTCCGATATAGTTTGATAACTCATTTCTTGTGGGACTTTACCAAGAAATAATAAAAATGAACTACACAAAAAATAATCAAAAGTGTGTGTGGCTGGACAAGGATTCGAATCCTGAGCCGGAAGCTGTCCCTTTAACTAACCGAGCTACTTGGTCAACGGACGTACCCCATCAAAACGAAATAACGGGACGGTTTCTGAACAGAACGAAATAACGGGAAGGTTTCTATACAAAACGAAATAACGGGAAGGTTTCTGAACAGAACGAAATAACGGGAAGGTTTCTATACAAAACGAAATAACGGGAAGGTTTCTATACAAAACGAAATAACGGGAAAGGTTTCTGAACAGAACGAAATAACGGGACGGTTTCTGAACAGAACGAAATAACAGGAAGGTTTCTGAACAGAACAGATCTTTATTGAACACTCAGATCGATACAAACGATACATGAGCAACATACATAATAAACAGTAGACAGCAAAGGAATAGGTAAGTTAGCACGGAGACTGAAATGCTTGCATAACACATTTCAGAAAGTTACAAAGCTTGTTCAACAATTTCATATTAGTGGTGCAAAATAATTCACGGTATATCTGATGTTATTTAGAAAACGGAAATAATATTTGGGAATATATTTACGTCTTCCAGTACGAAAAAAGCTACATTCAAATGCATAGTGGTATATTCATCACCAATAACTTGTTGATCACAAAGTGAACATATACGTTAATCCCAATGAACATATCCCCACCTACCACACAGGAAGTCGTTGGTTACATGTTCGATGGGAGTGTTTCTGCATATACGAAAACTCCAGTGTTTTGCCTGCTGGGACACTGATCCTTCAGCACGGCTACTGGGTTCAACAATGCCATACAGTTCTATAATTGTGTCGTTATTTGTAGATATCCTGGACAGCGAAAGGTTCTGTCTTGTCTTTGGCAAACTCTTGACAATACTGTCGAGTCTGAATTCCGATATATTCTTTTTTCGAAAGTGTTTATAAACAAGTTTCTCGCTCTTAAATTCAAATCTAAGCAATGGAATTCCTATTATCAAATTGAACGAGAAAATTTTGCACTGCAGGCCAGTGGTATGCAAAATAGACCGTTTACGAATTTGAAAACAGTTAAATTAACCTTACACATCCACGTCCTCAGCTCTGCAAGGCTCGTCTGAAGTACGTGTATCTTTCCCGTTAGATGTAATGAAGTTAATCACAAACCGTTTGATATTGAAGTACATGCATTCTAAACATACGTGCACTTTAAACTTAACTTGCAGCTTCCAGTTATTAATATATGTGTGTTTAAGGAGCCCTGCCCCACTGTAGACAAAACACTAGAGAGCTCCACTGTAGTTTTTCATACCTAAAGTAATCTCCCCTTAATATCATTATCTATTCCGTTGACCTGGCAGCGCAGCTGATAAGTTCGACAGGTCCAGTGTTCCGATCCTGATTTATCAAAGCTATCTATGTCTGGAAAAAGTTTCCGATGCATATTACAATTTTTGGCAGTGTTACAAGTATCCTTAAATATGTGTGTCATAAACGTTGTACGTGTCTTTTCAATACAGTTTTTATGGCTTTCAGTGCGCATAACTCCGGACTATAAAACCTTGGTTACGGCAGCTTCAAATATTATTTTTTGGTAGAAGTAAGAAATAGGGACCTATAACTTTAACGTTATCAGATTTTTCTTGAGACGAGATTTAATACTTTTTGGTGAATTTAAACCACTTTCAGAAAAGGTTTGGCGTGTATATTTACATTTGAAGTGTCAATCTTACTTTTCGGTATATGTATTTGAAGAGAATCAGAAATACTGATAAATATTGATTTTATAACGAAGTTATGAAATATTATTCTCGCACTCTTCTAAAACACGACTCTTTAATTCATTCACCCCTGAAATTACATAATGAACTATTCCAACATTTGAATTGGAAGAGTTCAAATGTGTCTTCTGGGGTGAATAAGATAATGACCTTTTTAATGCGCATATGTTTTGGAACATGTAACAAGTAAAGACAGTATCATGTCACAAGAGATAAAACAAACCCACGGAATTATGAATCTGTTAATACGGATTAGACAAGATTCTGACGTAAAAGGCGCTAAAAAATCTGAAATGCTGTTCTTAAAAATCTACCACCTTATCGGCTGCCTTTGGGAGCCGCATATCACAAGATACAACGTTGATGAACGGGACAAGGATAGAATTTGCCATGCCCATCTGCAATAATCAGAAGTTAAACCAGAAACGCTCTACATTGGCATCGAAATAGGCTTGCTACAGATACCGCAAGATTTCAATCTTACCTTATCGTTGATATCACAGGGACCTGAGAATTTGTTACAGCTATATTTGAACCTAAACTATGGTGCTCAGAGTAATTTTACATGCTTCAGGGGTTTAGATCGACTTTCGGTAAAAATGACACCCCCAATTATACTCATATAATACCTGAAACCAATCAAATAGCTTACCGCGAGCCTCTGATATCGCCGTGACATAATCCAGGGATGTAGATAAAATGTTTTGCGTTAAATACGCAAGTTTTGACAGAAGTTGATGTTGATTTGTATTTATTGAGTGTAAATTTTAATGCACTAAATCCAGTGTGCCCCTTTCTCTCGGGAACACTAATGTCGTCGCCTGACGTATCGAGCAATATTACTCCCAGACAACGCTATACACTTTAAAACAAGTTCCCTCGGGAAAGGGCCACACTAGCAAGGTTTTACTATAGTTTACATGTATAGGCGGATATACAAGAGGGATAGCACCAAGGCTACAGGCCTAAAGTCCACATACTATATACTACAAGATGACTTTATGGGTTTTTTTGTCGTCCGTCACACCGCTCCCTACAGGCACCCTCATTCATAGGTAGTGTCCAACTCGTCGTTTCCCTCGGCACTATTCTTCCGTAACAATGTTTCTCGAAGGAAGTGTTTCTCCGAAAAACCGTTTCTTGTGGGCAGTGCTCTTCCGTCACACCATTTCTCACGGGCAGTGTTCTTCCGCCTTGTCGTTTCCCGTGGGCCGTGACTATACCTGTGTCACTCCGTTTCCGCGGCGGTATTCCTCCGTCATACCGTGGAATCCGTGTACAGTGTGCCTCCGTTACAACGTTCCCGCGGGTACCATTCCACCTGACATTGTTTCCCGCTGGCGATGTCTTTCCGTCACACTATCCGCTAGGCAATATTCCTCCGTCACACTGTTTCCCGAAGGCACTCATTCTTCCGTCATTACGTTTCCCGCGGGCACTTCTCATCCGTCACACTGTTTCCCGCGGTCACTTATTCCTCTGTCATAACGTTTCCCGCGGGCACTTTTCCTCTGTCATAACGTTTCCCGTGGGCTCTTTTCCTCCGTCACACTTTTTCCCAGGGGCACTCATTCTTCTGTCATTACGTTTCCCGCGGGCACTTTTCCTCCGTCACACTGCTTCCCGCGGGCACTCATTCCTCTGTCAACGTTTCCCGCGGGCACTTTTCCTCTGTCACACTGTTTTCCACGGGCAGTCATTTCTCTGCCCGTCATAATGTTTCCCGCCGGCACTCATTCCTCCGTCACACTGTTTCTCGCGCCCGGCACTCATTCTTCTGTTATCACGTTTCCCGCGGACGCTCATTCCTTCATCACACTGTTTCCCGCGGGCACTCATTCTTCTGTTATCACGTTTCCCGCAAGCGATCATTCCTTCGTCACACTGTTTTTCGTGGGCACTCATTCCTTCGTCACACTGTTCCCCGCGGGCGCTCATTCCTTTATCATAATTCCCGCGGTCAGTGAGCCTCCATCACACCGACGGTTTCCCGCGGGAAGTATTCATCAACTATGCGAAGTTTCCCACGCTTTGCCCAGTTTCCCGCGGACGTAGGGAATTTTCCAGCAGTACCGTACCTTACATTATTATTGAAGGCTGATGTAGTAATCTAGTTATTGGCCTTATTCTAAAATATATTGCCATTTCCCGAGGGAACTATATTCTCTGTTAGTGGTGTCAAGTTAGACGGAATGTGTGCCCGACTTATCAAGCGAGGGCACTTTATTCCTCCACAGACAATACTATCAGATAAATGGTCCCTCGGGAGCTAGAGGGCCATTTTGGATGAAGTACTTTATATGTTATAGGAGAAGAGTCGAGTGCTGACATGTACAACACCAGCGTGTATCAATACTGGTTTGTTGAACAAGCAAACAATATTTAATCGACGTAATTTGATAATGATAATTAAAAAGAGAATCAATAAACAAGTGTATACATCTCATCTTATGAGGTGGCTTTAGTGCGGGTATTTAGGGTGGTGCTAATCCTGACAAAACTCAAGTTAGATTTCGATATCGATCAATCATAGGAGAAAAAAAAAGATTAATAATACTTTTCTGAATCCCAAGAAAATACATCTTATTTTTAGAGCACTCTTATTCTCAAATATTTTGTATATCATTTTTTTTTTTACAGAAGGGCAACTTCCTCAAACATTACTCAATTAATTAAAGGTTAAATTGTAAATTAAAAAACAACAACAATTGGATCAATTTCAGAGAATCTCACTCTTGAATATTAGTTTGACAAGAAAAGTGAAATTTAGAATAAGTAGGACCGAACAATTAAAAGTTTAAGTTTTTGCGATAGGCGTGGATCTACCGACTGCATTTATTTATTGTTAATCATTGGGACTAGAATATAATTTTATATTGTCCAAAATAACCATTTGCCATTGTTATTTTTTATTGACAACATTGCCGCTATTGGTCTTTCGTTTACACATATCTTTACCTATACGTAACCAGTCTGTTTAATATCTGGCAGGCAACTTTTCCAGACATCTAGGCCTATCTGTCTCTGGTTTACTGTCGACGATAGGGTGTAACCTTCACTCTGACACAAAACACCGAACTATGAATGGGGTTTGACTCAAACTTTGAGGGGCGAAATTGGGTAATATTTATTTCCATCTGTCGTGAGAAACTTCTATTCCGTTTATAACCATTCAGAGTTAGTAACACGCTGAAATACATAACCGACAGCATAGCAACCGTCTGATCAATACACAATGTGTATTACACATGTGTGTATGGAATTCCCCTACACGCGCCTCGCTTTGACCTCGCACATGTACACTCTCCTGACATCCAAGATGGCGCTTTCTATGTGAACGGGTGGAGTGTGTTGGTCATTTTTTGTTTAGTTTGGGTAGTTTACTGAACAGAATGGTTATGGGAAAATGACAGGCTTGAATTTATGACTTCAGATGTTCCATGCAGGCTATTCAGCGATATTCTCTGCTACTCGCCGTAGGAATTTTACTAATAATTCTATACTATGGCTTGAATACAAATTTTAAAAATGGAGGAAAGACACGGTCGTTGTTTACCCTTCGAAGGGAAAATCTCAGATCGTTCACAGATTCTGAAGACCACAGTTTTGCCGAAGACCTGCACATGTCCCCAAAACATCGGCGCGAAAGAGCGTCAGAGTCGAAGAAGAGACAAAAATGTCGTATGGAGTCGTGTTTCGATCTGTCGCGTTGTCGGAAAGGTTTCAAAGTATACCTGTATCCGTTGGAGGAAAGGGTATCGGAAACGTATAGCAAACTTGTTTCAGCTATCCAAGACTCGAGATACTATACCACCGACCCGTACGAAGCATGTGTGTTTGTATTGTCAATAGATACAGTAGATAGAGATGTACTTAGCCAGGATTATTCTAAAAACATTCAAACTAGGATTGAACAATTGGAGCACTGGAATAATGGAAAAAATCATGTCATTTTCAACCTTTATTCAGGAACTTGGCCAGATTATACAGAAAATTTGGATTTTGATATCGGTGAGGCGATGTTGGCGAAAGCCAGTATGTCCATTCATAAGTTTCGTAATGGTTTTGATATTTCTTTCCCTCTTATTGGTAAAGACCACCCGCAAAAGGGAGGAGAGAGGGGCCATGTGTATTTATCATCAAACAACATTCCTCCATTTCGTCACTACTTGTTAGGATTTAAAGGAAAACGTTATTTAACGGGGATCGGTTCGGAAACAAGAAATTCTTTATATCATATTCATAATGGGGAGGATATTGTGTTATTGACAACGTGTCGACACGGAAAGAGTTGGCAGAAGAAGGCGATAGAATTGAACGACACCAGATGCGAGACTGACAACATCGAATATGACAGGTAATATAAAGCGTAATTATGTTTTTAACAGTTGCTTTAATATGGTTTGCAAAATCTAATGAAAGCATTTGAGAAGGTTTAAATGAAATGTGTAACAGGAACACACTGTTTAAGACTTTTAATATATATTGATGACACACCCAGATTGCGGGTATCCCCTTGCCAAGTTTACACAGTACTTAAAGCAAGTGTTGGTTGTATAGCGGGGCCAGACTGATATTCAAACCACGAGGGCTTTTGAACTCCAGACATTAAAGCTCAAAGTCACCCGGCCCTGTCTCCTTTTTACAATATTTTCCCCTGAAGACATCGATCACTCAGTAGTACTATATTTGCAACCTACTTTAGTGTCCTAGTATCCCTTTACTATCGGAGCAAACAGTACTAGTGGTGTTCTAGTTAATCAATTTTATGAATGGTTAGTCATATTACTTCCGACCATGACTAATCGATCATCATTTTCAGGATTTTTAGATATTTGGACCAAATTTCCTAAAAACTGGTAATATTAAATAAATAAGCGATTTTCCCTGTAGCATTCAAATAAAATTTCTGCCTATAGCAATTAAGGTATTTGAATATTATCCACCATATTTTACCCACTCGATTACATCTGTATTTATTTTCTTATTCATTTGATTATAAATATCTTGATTGATCACTGATCAATAATCATTCATTTAAGAAATAGTGATCATGATTATCATTATGAGACAACTCGAGCTGGATGCAGAACATACCATTACATAATTATTATATTACATGTATATATATATACTCGTCCTCATACGTCCTACATAATGCCAAACGCTGTAACCATAACTAACAGAACTAATTAGGACCAGTTTAAAGCTTGGTAAGCTTGATGAAAAGTTTTTCAAAATTTTGATATCGTATATATATATATATATTTTCAAAAATATTGAAATCAATAACGGAAGTTGTATGCAGAAGGATTCAATACATTATCTGAAGACAAGAAACAAAAACAAAATTTGAAAATTTTGAGACAATTGTCAAAAATTGTAATTTGAGATTTTTTTTTTATTAATGACTTGTTAAGCTGAGCAGATCCCTGCGCCCGATCCTGAGTCTGATTCTGATGGTCACCACATACACGAATTGCTGCTATAGCTACAAGAAGAGCACTTGTTTTATTATTCTGTGATTTACTTTGTCTAGTTTTACAGCCAATTACAGACTGCTTCCCTTAGCAAAAAAGTGCTAGATTGTCCCAAATAAAAAAAGAGGAATATCTTAGTTTCCATTTTCATTAAAATATTGTTATATTTTCCCAATTAATCTAGGAACCATCTTCTTTAGCCAAAGGTTATATTAAAATCTGGTACAGTGTGTACAATCTGGTCTACCTAGCTACTAGCTACAATATAGCTAGTAGGTAGATGCTGATTGTACTGGATCATTATAACCCCTTGGCTAGAGAAGATGTTTGAGACAGGCTGCTGTCAAACTCAAATTTAGGTAGAAAAAGCACTCAATATAACATTTAATAATGGACAAGTCGTATATAGAATGAAAAGAATTGTTAAGTATGGTAGTTTTTCCTTCGGGACTTGTTATCTTTTTGAGGACCCATGGCCACTACAGTAATATATCTCTTAGTATAGTGGGACTCCAAAATTCTGAAAAGATGTTTGGGGCTTACCTAATTAATATGTACAAAAATCACTGCTGGTACGATGTTCAGGGCACACCTTAATATCTACAGAACTCAGTCCTAGTGCTAGTACGATGTTGAGGTCACGCCTAATATCTACGAAAGTCACTCACTGCTGGTACCTTAAGTATGATTTTAAATACTAAGTAAATATGTACTGTTACCACAGTAAATCTTTTGTAATCTTATCTTTTGACAGTGTGTCTGATGACTGGTGTATATGTCGCGTATAACATTAAATAGAACCTATCCCAGAGTTGAGCTAGAGATAAGGTTATTCAAACCCGAGTGATGTAATATATATGGAAGAAAACCCTCGATATGTATGTCATCCCTCAGGGTTCCATCATTTTATCTATACCTCATTCCCGGGGAAACATTCTGTTTCTTGACTACCTTTAATATAGGTCATAAAGCCCAAAATATTACATAAAAGCAACACGAAATTCAGTCGAGTGACAGAAAATATTTTCTCTCCCATTAGACAGAGATACCCACACTCCACACACTTTCGGTGAGGGAAAGATGTTCCTGTCTTAGTACTACCCTATGGTAAAGACCAGGGGAGATTCCTCTGTCATAACAATTTTACAGATTACGGAAGATAACTCTGATTTGCTACCTCTGGAAAGTATGCAATAAACATTTGCTTTTCATGAAATTACCGTAACTTGTATTAGACTTTGAGGTGGGAGAAAAATCTTCACGCCCCATTCCAGGAGTAAGACAAAAATGTCAACCCTATATATATATATAGGAGCCAGATTCTTGAATATCTAGCCCTGGACAAAGCCTCGGGCTAGATATTTAAGAATTTTACCCCTTTGGTGGAGATTTTTCTGTTTAGGTGGGGAAAGAATCTACAAGTCTTACCCAAGGGTAAAGACGAGGAGATTTCCCTGTCATAACAATTGTACGATGTCATGTCATTAGTTCAACAATGCAGTGACATCACATCAACAATAGCAGATCACGGAAGAAAACTGATTTGCTGGAAACTGTTTCATCAACGTTTGTGTTTCATGAAATTATCACCTGAATTAATATTTGAGACCTGGGAGAATAAGAATCATTCCCAACCTTGGGAGTAAGACAAAAAATCAGATGTCACCATAGGGAACAAGACCCAGGTCTAGGGGTCAGGTAGGATTATTCCAGCAACCGTAGTAGTACGTACTGGACATGGGCATAATCGGGTTTAGTCAGCTTGTAAGAATTAAGTACAATATCCAGTTGATGACGCGAGAAATTCATATAGATTTCGCGTATGCGGCCTAGTGTTGGGAATCGGTCCGAATTTGAAGATCGATTATCGGACATTTAAGATCGATCGGTAATTGTTTATCGGTTGAAATAAGTGCCAAAAAGATTACATCTAATAAATTGACATTTTGATTTTTGACTAATCATTAAAAATATTGATATAACTACGTGTTATTTTGCTAATAACTTTTATCTAAGAGACAGTCAAATGGTGAGAAAAGGTATTTCAGACATTGACAATGACCGGTAGATTACCATTTCAGAAGTGAACATACCTTTTACCTATAAGCTATATCCTGTAAGACAAGTCATGATGATAGCGATGGCAACACAAACAAATCAGGTTATGCATTTTGGGTTAAGTACTTGATATGACATTTACTATTGTGAATTAGTTAACGCATTTGAAATTGAGTCAAATTGAGTTGGTACTGTAAAGTTTATACCCCATCATCGAAGGGCTGGAAAAGAAAGTGTTTTTATTCCGGTGGCCACCATTTGCCGTACTTCCGGTTATCAGTTATAAATTTAGCCGTACCTACAAAACACTGCACTGACCTTGATTACGTAATGACGCTATAGCTACCACGCTTGAATGCCGGCATGATTCAAGCGAGAATCAACAAGAACAAGTGAAAGGAACGTTTTATTTTGGATTAAACATGAAAAGCAACTGTATGTATCTTAAGAATTTCAGTTCTTCATGACAAACCTACAAAAAAAATCTTTTAATGACAAAGTTTCAAAATCTATTTTTCATGTGCTAAATCGATTATCGAATCAACCTCATGTCAAGCTCGTTTTAATCGATGTTTTCGGTTATCGGTACACCACTAAAACGGCCTGCATCTGATGTACAGTTTATCGTCTGATGTTGCTTGTATGCATGTACAGTAGAGAATTGATTTAAAATTTCATCAAATAGGCCTAATCTAATAATTTTCCCTTTATTCAAAATGGAAACCCTTTATATTAAATTGTGAATTTCTGAGAAAAAGAAGAGAAAGCAATTTCCTACAGACTAGCTGTAGTTGTACCAAACGGAATATGTGTGATTTTAACAGACTTGAAGTGCCAACTGTCATCTGAAAAGTGAAATTTACTTTATAAACAGTTATTACCTGGGTATCAGTTTATGTTATAATTAGTACACATACATGTATGTGTGTTCTTATTTTTTACACAGCCAAAATTAAAGCTCAGTACTATATTTAAAGCTACAGATGATTATCAGCTATATATGGCATGGGCTTAGACAGGAAATCATGCAATTTATAACATGCATCAAGGAAACTCTTAATACATTTGACACATTCATATGTATTGAAAAAAACGTTTAATTTGGAATTTCGTGATTTCGTGAATGAACATAAATTTCCAATGCAAGGTACAGGATCTATATAGGTGGATGTAGGTTTCCTGTAACATGTTGGAAAACCTAGGGTAGGTAGGACGCGATCGGTTACACTTTTTTTTAACAAATCATCTTATATCGTTTATGTAGGGGAGTGGTCTGGACTTTACACTATAAAAATTGCCTAAAAATAGTTTAGGGTAGACACAAACAATTAGGGAAGGTAGGGTTACCGGAAACACCAAATATTGTTTGTTTGGCATTATATACGTATATATGTTTAATATTGGAAAGCAGCAGTGTGGACTTTTTGGATGAACATTTTTCTATTCCTTTTTGTTACTTAATTTTTCATGGTGAATAATTTGTAGCTTGAGATTAATCATCTCGTTGCTCTGCTGCATGACAATCGGTTATTTTCACTGCTAAATCTCCGAGGGATTAACTACTCTGTTTCATCTTTTTTTTATTGACAACCAACCCGCATTGGTGCATATCCTAAAAAGCCTATTTAACTATCGATACAACATTCTGTACATCTATGCAAACATTACTCTCCATCGCATAAAATGTGTATGAGAATTGCACCTAACTTTGATCTCATAAACACATGATTTATAACCGGTGATTTATAACCGGTAAACTATTGACACACACAGTTCATGTGATGTTATATATCATTAGGGACAATTTAGGGAGTGGTTT